TTTCCCAATAACCATTTTATCACCATTTAACTTCTAAAATTTTCAAGACAAGCGAGTGGCGTTTTTCACATCACCCAACGCGCTTCGAGCACCTTCGCAATTGCCACCTCGGCCGCGGGAGCTGCGGCGCCAAAAGGCCTCAGCTTTGGGTGCGAGCGGGTCGTGGCGCAGGTGCCAGCCCCGCAATTCCCGCTTTGTCCCGCTGTGTCCCGCTGTGTCCCGGGACACAAATGCTGCGCTGCGTGCTGCAGGGAGCCCCAGCTCCATCCTCGCCCGTGCCGGCTCTCACAGGCTCGGCAGTGAATCCGTGCCGGCTCTCACACGGATCCAAGGGCTGGCACTCCGCGCCTCCCTGCCCGCCCGGCGTGCTCCATATCAGTCTTCCTGCAGGAGCGGAGCGCCGGGCCAGACGGCGGCACATTCTTGCGCCAGTGCCTGCCTTAGCGGAGGCCTTTTCCTCGGAGCGGCACCCGCAGGCAGCCGGCCAGAGCGGCAGGGGAGCCCTGGGGGCTCGCTGGGGTGCTGTGGGAGGAAGGCAGCCCCGTGCGGAGAGTGAATGGCAGGAAAGGCACCCCGCTTCCCGCGGCTCCGTGTGCGGGAGGCGCCGGGAGCCCGCCAGCCCCGCAGGCGCGTCCCGGGATTTCCGAGCCGCGGCCGCGGCCCCTGCTAACAGCCGAATATTTCACTCCAGAGACATACTACACTTCCTGATATAGGATGCACTTGCATGTCTCCTGGTGACCTTAAACACTAATAAAGGAGTCATAACACGACCTAGACGGGCCTTGAGAGGCGGCCGGCGCACGGGAGGCTCGAGGGGTGGGAGCGCTTGTCTGCTCTTTGTTCGGCAGCTTTCGTGTCGTGTTCCTTCCCTTTTGATTATGCAGAGGAAGGGATTTTAAAACGCGTTTGTGTTGCCCTTTTGCCAGCAGCAGAAATTAATCCAATGTGCTGGGAGAGAGAAAGCTCCGTGTGCTGGTGGCTGGGGCTCTCCAGCATCTCCCGCAGCTTGCATCTGACCGAGGAGCCCTCTCGGCTCTTCCTCCCCACATCTGTGGCCCACCAAGGAAAAGGGCAACACAGTACAAACTCTGATTCCCTACGGATCCTACTCGCTTATTTCCACTGCCTGGGCAGGCAAGAAGCTGCTGTGCCTGTGTATCGTGGAGATTTTACGGCTGCCCATCAGTTGTAAACTCAGAGAGACATCCAGCTCCTACCCAAATCACAGGCTGGAGGAATGGTGAGGTTTTCGGGGATGTTGGGCCAGAATTTCTTCTGCTGACCACAGGCTTGCTTGCACTCAAAAGAGTGGAGGACTTTGCCCCTTTGTGTAGGGAAATATAGAGGTTGGTACATGCTGCCTCCTGCCACATGTGGAGTTTTGTACTGCCTTGGCCCTACAGCTCAGCAAAAATAAGCAGAGAGAGGTTAATTTTGGACCATGCTGGCAATCCAGCTATCAACCATAAAATGTGCTCAGACTTGCTAAGTAATGAGTGAATGATGACTTTGTTACAGGCAAAGCGGTGCTGTGTCACAGTGTTAGAGATCAAATGCAAGCGGGGGAGAAACAAGAGACCACCAGGATAAGAGGCAGACTTTCTCATCAGCACAGAAAACTATTTTGCTCTTTTAATAGCTCTAAAAATACTCTATTTGACCGCAGACCTATGTTATTTAGATCTGTTTATTTGTAAAAGGAAGGATAACAGTCTTCAACTCCATATTACATAAGATCAGCTGACATTTGCTATGATATCATAGACCAACAAAATGAAATAACTTGCAGAGAAAATATTGACTTTCTTTGTCTGAATTTAAGCCAGCAGACAGAAGAGAGATGAATATAAAATAAGAAAAAATATTACAGCAGTCATATCCAAACTAAATTTAGATACAAGTGAGGCATGTCCTAATTTAGGAAAGCTCAAGAAAAGATCTTGGGCATTATTATCTCTAATATAAAAGCTTTAAGTTGCAGAAAACAATCCTCAATAATACCATCCTCCAACACTTTCACAGAATTCCCACTGATTTTGACAGGAGCTACGCACACGTTTTGGAGGGAGGCCTTCAGCTTCATGGAGAAATAGGAGGCTGAACCTGTGCACATGGCAATTCTTAATGGTCATTTTCACTACAAACTCAAAACTTTGTCTGCTCTCAGCTAAGACACTAATCAAATAACCTCACATCTGACGTGCCCTTAGAGTATCAGTCTGCCTTCAATGCTCTTTCCCAGGATCTGACTGACAAGGGCAATTAATCAGGGCTGGGTCCACTGCAGCCAACAATGTGACGTCAGTGCAAAGCTGGTGAGAAGTCCACACCAGAGCTCTTTTCTTGCATCAACTTTGTTCTTAACATAGTGCTATGGCTCACTTACACCTCATTTTTTAAAAGTAAAAACACATTTTTGAAGCTTCTGGTAGAATACATTTCTCAACTCGACTCAATGCAGTAAACTTTAACAGAAATTTTTACAAAATCCTATTCACTCACATTCCACTTTTTGGGAAGAGGAAAGAAGCAATCATGACTGTCTGAATATTTCTGTCACAGAGACTTTTCTAGCATTTCTTCTGTACATTGAAAACAGTCTCCTGCATACATTTTCTAGGGTCTGATATGCTCACTTGTTTTTTTTTTTTTTTTGATTTACCATCATGTGTATGGGAAAATATTCTCCTGACTTTTTCTAAATTCTTCAGTTTTAATCCAATGTATCTAAAAAACAGCTCTGCTTCCCCTGAGTATTAGGCTTGGAGGGAATTAAATACTGTCTCTTGTGTGCTCTAGGGTTTTAGGATGGCAGAAGCTTTAAATGTCAATCTTTCTTTAATATTTACAGGAATTGATTCATTACACTACACCCTCACTACTGAGTTTACACCTGTGTTCATAAATCACTCCAGGTCAAGAACTGTATTGAGGACGTCATCCATTCAGCATCTGGCCTTTATGTAGCAAAATCAGATTTAGAAGACTTTGGAGAACTTGCCACTTCTCATAGAATTCTGGTCTTTTGCATTATTTCTGTCTTCTTATAGTGCCTTATTAAGCAATGCTTCTATCTCCTGTTACCCCTTTCTAGTTCTATGCAAGCAGGATTGTTAGCATGCCCCTGCAATGCTCCAGGCCTCTCCACCTCTTTCCTTCTTCCTCTTGGCCTTTTGTCTGCTGTTTCTCTCGAGTATTTCTGCACAGCATTTCAATTTCTTTAAAGGCAACCCTATTGGTGCCTCAGCTGATCTCAATTTGTACATTACACAAGAAAGAAAAAAATAAAATAAAACCAGTCTGAAATACCATTTGCTTTTTACTGCATAAAATACACCATAAGTTCACCTCATGCCATGTGCGTGTTCCTGTTCTCCTCCGCATCAGTTTTTCCGTGGAAACTTGCACCAGCGTCATCCAGGGCAGGAGCTCCCCAAACTTGGGTTTGTCCTTCTTCGTGAGAGGAGGGCACTGCTGGGAAGGTGAGTGTGACTGACACACAAAGGGCCCCAGGCTCTTTGGCACATGTGTTCCTCCAGCTCCAGTTGTGAGCTGACATGTTTACATTGCAAACCACTCACAGACTGCAGTGGGTGCAAACAGGCATCTTCAATTATTCCTGTGGCCTCTTCCCCATAAATAAAATATTAAGAAAGAAGGAAAACTGTCTGCTGGCCTGTTTACTGCCAGGATTTCTCCCATCTTGTGGTACTCAAGCAGAGTGACTGGGACAAGCTCCTTGGCCGTTGAGGAAACAAGAAATGAGGACAAATGAGCCCTGACAATGGTCAGGTGAAGGGCACCGTGACGATGGGCTGGCCCTGCAGCAAGGCAGGGGTCAGGGCCCTGGCTGACATGCAGGCACACTTGAGCACGTCCTCCCAGGCCTGCTGTCCCCCCACAGCAGGGAGATGTTGGCCACACCAGTCCTGCTTGCCCTGGGGGTGCAAACAGCCCCCCTCTGCTGGAAGGGGGCCACAGAGTTACACAGCAGTTTAACCCAGGTGGCATCCCTGTCACATCCAGCTCCTGTGTGCCTCAGAGGGCTCCAAATCAATGCCAAGGGAGCTCTTCTGGGCCATAATGCATGTTCATGAGTTCAGTCAGACTTTTTTCCAACATGGTAACATGGCACAAACAAAACCACAGATACGATGCTCCGTGTGAATCTCATGCAGAAGTAGAAATAGCTTTGGTCTTGGGATATTTCAAGTGGCATTTATTTCTAAAGATCCTGTTTGAGTCATAATCTAAACACCATTTCTCAAAGAGACCTTAGGGCCTGCCTCCCTCTAGCTCTTGGTCAGGCTAGATTCTCCAAGTTGGCAATTGGATCACTTCACATGTGGAGGGGCTTTGCATGTCTCGATCCATGGATATCCCTCCTGTCTGGCACATGGCAGTGGGGACTGGAACACAAGGTCAGAGGTACTGCATGCCTGAGTCCTATGTCACTGCCCGGCACACAGGAGAAAAAGGAGCTTCAATTCATGCTGGGCATATTGGCAAACAGTGCAGGGACCAGTCTTGCCAGTTTTCTTTAAATTTGGATCTTTTATAACTAATGAAAAAGAAACCTATAAATAGATTAATTCATCAAAGCAGAGAAAATGCACACATTTTGGAAGACCAGTCTCCAGCAATAATCTGTGAACATTATGTTTCAGCAGTGCTTGATTTTCTTTTCCACAATTTCCTAGGAGTCACATTTATCCTGCCTTCAGGGACTGGTGCCCCTGCTTAATCAGATTTATAATAAGCCTAATATTTAGGTTCTCAAGAACAATTTGAGATTTCCTTCCAGTGAACATTAGAAAATGATACTGTGATTAGCCATGATATCTCTCTGACTGGGACTGTTAAACAAAACAAGCAGCTGGCACAACTGTTTGATTTGGGAAGAAAGAGAAGCAAGAGTAATGACAGCCTGTTTCCAGGTTTTTAATAGAGGAAATGTTTTTGATACAGAAGTCCCATCGCAGTTATATTTAAGTTCACATACAAAGTAACACAAGAACACAAGTTGTTTTTCAAACATGGAAAAGTTCAGAAAAGCTGATTAAAATTATTTCTTACAGCCCTCTATTCACCTTTTTCTTTAGGCAGCCCCTGAAAGTTAAAAGAGTTATGACATGTAAGATAACCAAAGGGTCAATCCTGCCCAAAAATATATTAGTCAGCTAAGACTAGAGCAGTTTTTTGCCCAGCTTTGCCTTTGGACCATAAGGACTTTGTTAGCATAAAAAAACCCCATTATTTTTCAGAGAAGTGTGATGTCAGTAGAGCTCTTGAAGAATAAACAAAATCTTTTCCTTCATTGTGTATTACAATCTTAGAAAAATAGGGAACTGACTTTCTTCTCACACTTTTTACCATGAGTGATGCACAAGACAGAAAGCTTCTCAATAGATTATGAAATTTCAAACTGAACCTAAAAAACTTGGGGAAAAGTTTCAGATTTAACAACTGTGACACTGAGACAAGTGGCAGACCAGAAATCTGCAACTTTACATTTTTGTTTTCCATGATTCAGCCTAATCCCTTCCACAAGCAGAAGACTATACAAGGCATTGACTAGAGAGCTGTTTCTTTTTCTTCAAATTTCAAAGTGCTTTTTTCCCTGGTCTTAAAATGTCTTAAAAGTAAACATCTGTCTTTCATCTGCTGGATGGCAATTTAAGAACATCGACCATTAACCCCCCAGGCACCTCTGCAGATCTGAGGTCCCTCATAGCAAGAGATGCTGGGGGCTCCTGGTGGTCCTTGGCTGCAGAGTAACCCAGAGCATCTACATCTCATTCTGTGAAGAAGAGAATACAGCATCAGGGATCCCTTTCTGCAATGCAGCTGGAGCATATAAAAAAAAAAAAGTCATAAAAAGCTCCTGAAACAGAACATCACTTACAGTATATGTCTGTTCCTACTTGTGTTCCCAATAGTGTCTTCAAGATTGACCTGTTTTTTTAAAAAAAAGAAAGAAAAGAAAAAGAAAGATTAGCACCTATTACAACTGAACAAAAATGTACTCAAGTACTCTATGGGATTTTCATGTCTAAAAACACAGTTTTTCTCTCTTATGTTTAGCATCCAAGTCTATCTACTGCTCTCTTCTGGAGCAGCTTTAAGAGTTCACCTCCTATCGAATACTTGTGCACATTCAAAGTGCAGGTACTTGACATTCTAGAATACATCTAATCTGTTAAATGAGTAGAAAATACTTTGCCTCCTTTGTTTGATATGCCACCTAAGATATTTCAGGAAATATGAAATCAGATTAAGCCTGAAATGCTCTGTCTCACCCAGTGACTCCTAAGTGGTATTTCCCTGTGCTTGGGATAAGCATTGGATGCCATTTCTTCAAAGAGCGAGCTGAGCTTTATCCCATCCCAAACTGGCTACACCAGGACTTGGAACGGGCCTCATGAAATTTCAACTTTTGTGTGCCAAATGACTGCTTAGCCACTAGAGCAGTGCTACTCCATTCTGGCACTCCTCAACCAGCACAGCAAGACCTCTTTGACCAGGGAGTAAGATAAAAAGTGGTGGTGGCTGGGCTGGGGGAGACCCAGGTGCTGTGACACACTGCTAGAACATGGTGTGTGTTGCCTCCAGCATTTAACACAAAGCACGAGTATTCAAGGGACTAATGCCTAAATATCATTCAGCCTATTCTGGTTTGTTTTATGGGGATTACTGTGCCTTGCATTTTACCACAGCCTCCCAGCAGTGTGCTTCCAGTGGTCCACAAGGCAGCCTACTGCTAGACCTGTTTTTAAAAAATGGGATTTCACCAGTCAGCCAGGCAGTTTTGAAAGTGTTACTCCCAGTCAGACTAAGCTCTTTGGGCTTCCCCCCAGAGAAGCTGCTGGGATGCCTGGGACCTACCAGCACAGAAGCAGTTAATTCCTATGAAGACTCTGAGGAAAAAAAAGCCAGCCTAAGAACAGCCCTGTGTTGGGAGGAGAGCTGGAAAACGAGGCTGTTGCTGTTGTTTTCATTGTGTGCACTCTAATCAGAGAGAGTAAGAACAATAATGCATGTAATGCTGATTTTGGACCGTTTCCATGCAGCTTTTCCCAGGCTAGGCAGCCTTGGGAACCACTGATAGTGTGGCACACCAGGGGCACAGCCTCAATCACCAAGCACAGGGCAGGGCAGCCTTTTCTGCACATAAAATATGTGAGGGATGACAAGAATCTTCCCAGCATGGGAAGTGGCAATAACAAAAAAAAATATACAAGGGGCTGAAGCTGAGTGCAACATCCACTGCAGAGCATGCCTGCAGGCAAGGCTCAGATTTGAAAGGTAGACTGCTATTTTTCATTTCCTCCCCCGTTTTGTGCTTGTTTGTTTGTTTGTTTGTTTTCTCTTCTTTCATTAGATGCCCCCCTCCCCCTCTCAGCACCACTTTGAAGCCAAGATGAAAGAATTGCTGTGGCTGCTGGCACAGAGCACACACAGGGAGAATGACTGAAGTGTGCTTTAGTTTAAGATGGCATGGCTTTTTTTTCTCTTTCCCCAAGTAAGGGAGGGACAGGGGTAGGGGAGGGGAGAAGAGGAGAAGAAAGTTATTCAGCTAAAAACAATATATTACACTTCATTGAAAAGCATATTGCACAGCTTGGATTGAAACATGGTCCTAATTTTTCAAAGCTTTGCTCTTCAAGGACAGAGGGTTTTGGGTAGCTAAGATGTGGCATCCTCCCAGACAGCAACTGCCCATATTTTATTCATAAAACCTGCCACATCAGTGTATGATGAGAATTGACACAACAAGCTGCAGCTCCGTGACCTGTTTTGAATAAGTCGGTCAAATCAATGATGTTTGTCCCTTAGTAGCAGAAATTTATGTAGCCACTGAGGGGTGGAAAAAAATCACTTGCTACCATTTTTGTTTCTGAAACAAAGAGACGCCTTTGAACAGTAACAATAAAAGGATCAACTTGTTTTCTTTTCTTTTCTCTGGCAATTGATTTCTTCTGACATCCACTTTGAAAAAAGAAAAGAAAGAAAAAAATTGGCAGAAGAAGGGAATAGAATTTACAGACTTCTTCCTTGACACTGGAAGATGTGATTATCTGTGAGTGGCTGATTCAGTGATTTGGGGAAATCCTGGTGTCAGTGACATCAGCAAGGGACTGTCAATGACTTCAGCATATCAACAAGTTCCAGTCCCACCAAGTTCATCATGTGCTGTCCGAGCCTGCAAGGACAAGGCCCTTCCACCAACTCAGGCTTGTCCCGATGATGGGAAAGTTGTACAAAGACTTTGTAAAATCCAGGGAAAAAAGGAAGGTCACCATGGATGGTTGCAATATTTTCTCCTGCCTTCAGCTGCCAGCCCTTGCCCCTATAAAAGTGTCATTCACCACCAGAATTTCATGCTTATTTAATATCTGTTAGTCACTGTTAAACTGCCAACAGCTAGCTAAATTCATACTAATGTTCTTTTAAATATGCAGCAGTCCTACCATTTACAATCATTATGGAATTAAACTGTAGAATTAAACTCTCAGGTCAAATACCTTAACATATACCTAAAACAGCATTAATTAGCATGTCCAAGGATTTTTTGGAAGCCCTTGAAGAGAGCAATTACAGCAATTGGTGAATATCCTTTGAAGGGTGGATTGCATGCAGCTTAGCAAGTTAGAACTTCTGACTATTAATTTATTTTGAACTAATTCTGACCCTGCTTCTGTCTGCTAACTGCAAGCCAACTTTCAAAGGCCAAATACACTGGTGTACAAAGTAAGCCAAGTTTTCTGGAGAATAGAGAGCAGCAAGCCAGCCTCTCAGAGGGATGGGGCTGGTTCTGTATCAAAGATTAATAGTGAAACAAAAGAATAGCAAAATAGGTGTTATCATGAGCTGTTACACAGAAAAAATAATTTTATAGCAATATGTTTTGTATATGGAACAATGCAGGGCCCGTGTTGGGAAACAGCACAGCCATTGAAAGAATTCCTTGTCACAGCAGTAACAGAGGGGACTTGTTACAAACTAAGCAGTTTCCAAGCAAGCAGCAAACAGGATTTTGTGACGGTGGCATCACAAGAGGATCATGAGGAGATCTTTAAACAACAGACAGACTATAGGACTTGAAAAGGTTTTCTGACTTGGCTCCAAGGAAGGGCCAGTTATGCCCAAACTATTCCAGGCATGTTTATGGAATCTTGTCTTTAAGATCTCAAATGATGGAGATTCCTCAGTTTCCCCAGGTAACATAATTCAGTGTGTAGCTGACTGCACATTAAAAATCATTCCTAAGATCTACCCCAATCTCCTTTATTACTGTTTGGTATGCATGCATCACATTCTTCTGGAAGGCAAAATGCATTACTCTTTAGCATTTTCATTTGGGCTGCCTTTCTCCTTATCATGGATATGTCCAGTCAGGTCCATCTTCCTTCTTAATGGCTCCAGGATGGTGAGATTGAAGCTGGAATATGCTCCATTACTTGCAGCATTTTGCCTAGCCAAATCCTAATTGCAGGACTCCCTTTTGTGAGTGCTGTGATACATTTCCTATCACTATTGTTTCAAAAGCACTGGCCCTTTCAGAAGTGCAAGCAGGAGGGGGTTGGAAAAGGAAACATCCAACGTTTAAATCAATTGCAGTAAGTGGGTACCAAAACATTGGGCAGTGAACTTTGCATATCAGACAACCACATGGGTCTCTCTCAGTCTGAATTGACAGGCCAATAATAGTGAAAAAAAAATCATTTTAACTGAAAAATAAAAATAATTAAATAGAACAATTCTGCATGTGGTTATTCTCCTATTACTTCATAGAATCCAGCTACAAACCAAAAATTGTGGAGTGAGGAAAAATCTAGGATCCATAAAGAGTTATTTTTCAATGTGGTGATGTTAACAATGCTATCCAAAATTCTCTCTTCTCAAATCAGTGGATTAGATGTTTCCTTGAGATAATTACAAAGCAGTGACACAGGAAAGGCAGACCAAATTTTAATTCTTACCTAGCATCCAAGAAATGAACCACCTATTTTAATGACCAGAAAGAAGATTCAGGTAAATTTTTGTGGGCTTCAGTAAAAGTACCTATTTGATGTTCCTCAGAGACAGAAATAGTCAAATTGTTAGTGCTGTGAAAAAGAAATTGGACAGGCATGTGAAGAATGAAAATATAAGAGATAGTGCTGAAAAAAAAAAAAATACAAAGGAGACACTAAACCCTTTACTTTAGGATTTAGATGGCTTTGAACATTGGTGGGAAGGAATAAACCTGAAGAGGGGGAACACAAACATGTCTGCTTGTGTAAGGCAAGGTTTTGTCACCGAGTGTCTGCTGCTGACTGTGGTTTTTAATGTAGAATATTGAACAGTATGAGCCACATACTGGTCTGAGAGCTACCATGACCCTAAAAGGAAGAGATATTGGAATAATTCTAAAATCAGCCTCAGGGTAACATCTTCTCCCTTTTCATCATCACATCTGGAACAAAAATATATACCAGGGATGGTCACTGCTAATCTCATTCACTAACTTATTTTTTTTACCATCTGAGCTTCAACACTTCAGCACTACATTTCTGGCTTTAGATTTTAGCTACAGTACCCAACTCCCACTACACCTGTGTGCTCCCCAACCATGAGGAGATTTTCCTGGCCATGTCTCTGACTCACCAAGACTCTGTGTGCAGGATTCCTGAAAAAAAAGAGAGCAGTATCCCTGCCTTACCACTTCTAGTGTAAGCCTGTACACTGTCCCACCGTTACAGCAACCACATTTTCTCTGAATCCTTGGGTTTTGTCTAGTTTATTTGGCCTAAAATGCCATTTGTTCTGTCACTGAACTGTGAGCTACATTTAGTGTCCAGCAAATGGTTTTTTGTCTCTGCTCTATGACCAAGTCAGGAGCCAGACACAGCCTGCACACTTGTTCTGTGGGGAACACTTTTATTAATGAATACATGATTGAGTGTCTAACAGGAAAATATCAGCATTTTTGCAAAATCAAAAATGTTTTCATTAAATAATTAAATATTTTTCATTAAATGACACTGAGATATCAGGTTGATTTTTCAATCCTTACGAATCCTTTGGCAGGCAGCAAGTCCATGTAAGTTACTGAGTCCTGCAGGATAGGGCAGAGCCTTTTTGAAAGATTACAGAAGAATTCTGGTATTGGAAAATGAATTCATCCTCTCCTGTGTGTGAATGGTATAATCAAGGGAAAATGTGTCATGAAATATTTGAAAGAAAAAGAGTAGGTGTGTTTCAAAGCACAAATAAATCTCTACCTTTGTAGTCTCTCAGCAGATCGCAGCAGGCAGATTAAGGTTTTGTGTCACTAATGGTGGGCTTTGTGCAACAGGCTTGAAAACTTACTACCCTGACATTAGTCCCA